AAAATCAAGTTTTTCTTAGCCCAGCCCTGTGCTGTGGGATTGGCTGGACAAGGAATGTTTAGTGGGATCAGGTGAGGAGTGCATGGAGCCAGGGGAGCTTTGGGGACCTGGAGAACCCAAAGGGACAACAAAAACAGCCCCAAAGTGGGGTTTGTGCCTCGCCCAGCTCGCCCTGCCTCAGTTTCCCCAGCCTCAGCGTGAGGAAAGGAGTCCTGTGAGGGCCTTACTGGGATGTCCTGGGAGCTCTCCTGGGAGCCATGGAAAGGAGATTCCAGGAGCTCCCTCGCCTCTGGGATGTGGGGAAATCCTTGCTGTGGTGAAACACAGCCTGCCCACATCTGGCCGAGCATCGAGAGAGCCAGGGAATGTTGTCCTAAAATCATGGAATGGTTCGGGCTGGAAAGGACCTTGGAGCTCATCCAGTTCCGCTGGCAGCGACCCCTCCCCTATCCCAGGTTTTCCCAAGGCCCATCCAACCCTTTTCCCTCTCAGTCCAGCTGTTTTAAACCAGGCAGGATAAACAAAACCCCGCCGAGTTTCGCTGCTTGGCCCCACCTGGGGATCACTTCCTTGGAGCTGAGGATTCCAGCCAAAAAAACACCGGGATAACCCCAAATCCTTCCCCTCTCCGGCAGAACAAGGGATTAGAGCTCGTTCGGTGCCGTCCCCTCTCCCTGGAGCTGCTCCCTGAGCACATCTGTATTCCCATTCGTCCCTAATTTGCTGTTAATGGACAGTTTTAATCAAGCCCGAGGATTAAATGGCATTGAGGAGCCTTTTCCAGCGGCAGGGATGCTGAGCCGGGATGTGCAGGGATGAGGGGATGGCAGGGGACAGGGACAGGCTCCAAGTGACATTTCAGGAGCAGAGTCTGCGTTTAACCGAGAAAAGAGAGAAGTAAACAGGAAATTATTTCGCAACCTCTCTCCACCAAAGCTTCCCCTGCTCCTCTCCGCCGCCTCCGACCCCGAGGGTTTCCCGGGAAAGGGTTTTTCCCTGGATGCCGGGATGCCTCGGCTCCCACGGGATCCCTTTGGAGCGCCAGGGGTGCAGCAGCAATCCTGGCATCCTAAAAATCCGCTTGTCCTGGGATGGGGAGCCCGGTGCTCCCCCGGGTCCCAGAGCTCCCAGGAGATCCCAGCCGGGATTTTGGAGCGGGCAGAGCCTCCCTGGCATTTGGGACTCCCGATTTTTCCTGCAGCACCTTTTCAGGTGCTTTCCCAGCTCCTCTTCCCTGCCATTGGGAATGTCCCGTCCGCCTCCAGTCGCTGTAAGGGAGCAGCTCCCAACCTGAGGAAAGCGAGGGCGCAGCCAATGTTTCCCTTTTTATTCCCAAATTATTATTTGGAATAAAAATATCCCCTGAGTGCCTGGAGGGGATTGAACACAACCCCCAGGGGAACACAAAAAAAACCCAAACCCCATTAACTGCACTCAGCAGCCTTTTAACTGGAATTTGGCTCCAGGGGAACTGAAATCCCCAGGTCCTGCTTTGGAAGGGTTCCCAGTCTTCCCGAAGTCAGCGAAAGCACTTCCAGCAGGCTGGAAAGCCGAGCAGGAGCGGCCGCTGCGGGGTTGAGATAAGGCGCTGATGCCAAATACTCCTCCCAATCCCTGAAATTTCGGATTCGGGATTTTAATTTTATTTATTTTTTAATTTAACTCGGAATTTTAATGCCGCACTCCCCCCCCCAACACCGCCGCTCCCGGCAAAGCGCAGCCCCTGGAAAGCGCAGCCGCTTCCTTCCAGCGGGATTCATTTGTATCTGGATGAGGAATGAGGGTTTGGCACCAGGGATCTCCACCGTGAGCGGTTCCTCTCCCTCTGGAGCTGAGGTCATCCAGCAGTGCCGTGGGGATGAAGGACAAACCGTCCTGGCTGCTGTCACACCGAGCCTTGGCAGGAGCCAGGAATCCTCTCCGCATTCCCAGCCTTCTTCCCAGCCTTCTTCCCAGCTTTGTTCCCAGCCTTCTTCCCAGCTTTATTCCCAGTTTTGCTGGTGGATATCCCAAAGGAGCCGGTTCCTCCTGGCTGAGCATCCCCTCCTTCCCACCCCGGGCTGATCCCACCTGCCCTGCTCCAAAAGATTCGCACTGAATCCTCCTGGAATTACGGAGTTTGGACTGGGAGAGACCTTGAAGCCCATCCCATTCCACCCCTGCCATTCCACCCTGTCCCAGGCTGCTCCAAACCCCATCACACCTGGCCTTGGGCAATTCCAGGGATCCAGGAGCAGCCACAGCTTCTCTGGGAATTCTATCCCAGCACCTCCCACCCTCCCAGCCAGGAATTCCTTCCCAGTATCCAGTATCTGGGGCTCGGAGTGGCTGCTGCCACCTCCCGTGCTCGTGGACATCCCAGATGAGATCAGCAGCTCCTCCTGCTCCCGGATAATTAACTGGATCTTGGATGAGAGCACTGGAGGGGGCTGGGAACAGCTGGAGCACCTCGGGTGTGCTCGGAGCAGCCCTTCCGTGCTGATCCTTGGAAGATTTCAATTCTTTTTTTCGGTTGGTTTATTTTGTTTGTGGGGTTTCTTCTTTTCGCTTTTTATTCCGAAGATCAAAATGAAATCAAACAAACAAAAAAAAAATCCCAAGCCATTATTTAAAAAACGGGAGCCGGGTGCCAGTGATTGAAAAGGATTTAATTCCAACCTTAAAGCCCGGAGTGCTGCAATTTCCTGATTAATTCTCCCACAAAATAACAAAACAAAACAAAACAAAACAAGGATAAAGCCTTCCTGGCCTCGCCCCTGCTCTCCCTGGATCCTTCCCTTCCCCAGGTGAACATTCCCAGCTCTCTCCTGAGTCTCTGAACTGGCTTAAATCCCACCAAGGTCTATGAAACATCCAGGGGACATTCCCAAGGCACATCCCTGTGTTCTGTTTCTCATTCCATCCATCCCAATGGAGGATTCTCCATCGAAGCTGACCCCAAGGTCCTTTCCCCCCAACCTCCACCATCCCATTATTCCATTTCCTCCATTTTCCTCTTGGCTGTTTCCCCTTTCCCTCTTCCCTGGGTAATAAAAGCCCTTCATCCCGAGCTGGCCTCTAGGGAACATCCCATTATTCCATTATTTATATGTTGGGAATGAACTCTTGGTTCCATCCCTCCTTTTCTCCCCCTTAATAAGCTTTTAATCCATGCTGGAAGTTCAACAATCCCCCCTTGGCTCCAGAGTTTCCTTAAAAGCCTCTTGGATGGACTTTATCCAAAAGCCCCCAGGAAAATTGAATAACTGCTCTCCCTTACCCACGAATTTGTGGGCTGAACATAAAACCAAGGGATTCTTTTTTTTTTCCCCTCCGTGTTTATTAGAAGGGTTTTAATTCTGCTTTTAATTATGATTTCAATGTAATTAATATGAAACCACAACTCCTAAATGGAGCTTGTAAATGCGCTCAGGTAAACCACTCATTCCATGGAAAAATGAGCATTTGGGATTAATTATGACTGGTGCCAAATTGATCATTAATGAAGCTTTAGGGTTAATTAGAACCAGCTGCAAATTTCTCAGGAAGGACAGGGAACAGCGCAGAAAAAAATTCCTTTTTTTGGTAAAAAACGTGTTGATTCCTGCAGCTCCCAAATGGAACACCCCGATTTCCCCCCCTCCAACAATATTTCAGGATTAAGGGTAATTTTCACCTCCCTCTCCACATTGTATTAATGGGTTTCCAGGGAAAACTCCAATAGCAACCGGCACCAACCAGGCAGAGTTGCCTCATTCCAGCCCCCTTTGCTTCCAACAAAAGCCATGGAATTAATAAAGCTTTTGGGAATGACTCCAGACTTTCCCTCCATCCCTGCAAGCGGAAAACAGGTTGTTGATCCCATTTTACAGCTGAGGCTTTCGGGGATGGAGAGCAGGGAATATTCCTCGGGATTCCAAGGGGCACAAGGGTGGCTCCTTCGCTTTTCCAGTGGTAAAAACCTGGTTCTGTTGGTGATGCCCAGGCTCGATCTGATCCCAAATCCTCGGGAAGGGATGCACCAGGACATTGCTTTGTCCCTGCTCCTACAGGACATCTGGGATCAAAACTCCCTTTCCAACAATTCCCAGTTTTTTGCGGGTGCAGCGGCATCTCTTGCTGAAATTGGGACGGGGTTGAGCTGGAGAACTTTTCCATGGATTAAGGGGGAGTCAGGTTACTCCCCACTTCCAAAAGAGCAGGAAATGTTGGGAGGAGCCCAGATACTTTGGAAAAACACCATAAAACCTGTCTGGGCCCATGGCACATCCAAGGGGAAAATCCCAGGGATTGATTTTTCATGGGACAGAACCACCGCCCTCGTTTTCCTTGCATCCATCCCCAGTGGGGGTGTGGATGTGGAACACCAGAATTCCATGATTTTGGAGCAGGATCCAGACCAGTCCATAGGTGTGGAGGAGGTCACCAGAATTCCACGGTTGTGGAGTGTGGATCCAGATCCAAACCTTCTCCTTTGTTTCCAGGTCCCATTGTGCGAGGCCAGCTCTCCAGGCAGCTCTCCAGGCACTGCAGCCTTCCAGGTAAATCCATGGAAAACCATGTCCTGGGAAAAACCTGGGAGTGGGTGAAGAATCCCAAGCATTTGAGTTCCAGCAGTGGCTGTGATTCCCAAGTATCCCAGAGCTCGGTGGCTCCTCGGTGGCTTCCATCCCTTCTCCACATCCATGGAATATCCCCAAAGCCGCTGTGTTTGTTGGACAGCCTGGATTTGAGGCCAGAAGTAGAGCTTGGAAATCTTCCCAAACCTTGGGAAGCAGCAAGAGCCCGTCTGAAATTTGGAATAAAACGGGATTAATTCAGTTTTCCCCATGGAGCAGAGCACGGGCAGCCAGCACACGGAGGGTGTTTGGTTATCCCTGGGAAGAGGGAAAACCAGGACAGAGCAGCTCCTCCGCTCCCACTGCCCCAGGGATTAACCCAAAATCCCGGGAGGTGCTGGAAGAGGAACAAACTTCCGGAAAGCTGCGCCAAGGTGTGCAAAGCCTCTGGAAGGAACAAACCCTCCCTCGGCTCCTGGCACTGCTCCAGACTCCACCTCCTCTTCCCAATCCTATTAGAATTAGAGGGATAGAGCTATAAGAGGAAAAGTCCATCCCCAGAGCAGCGCTGACAGCTTGGCCTTTAAATCTTTAATAAGCACCGGCTGCAGGTCAGCACGTGGAAGTGGGAATCCAGCAGCCTGGAGCTCTGCTGGAATGTTTGGGAAGACCTGGAGAAGCTCGGCTGTGCAAATGAAATGAGGGAGCCTCAGCGTTGTTCTTATTCCACAGAAAATCCTTCCCGTTCCAATTGTGTGCTGGGAATTCCATTCCAAGCCACGTTCCCGTGTCCTGTCTGGATGCTGCTCTGCCCAAAAGGCTTTGGAATTCCCCCTGGATGGAATTCAGCTCAGATTCCCTCCTCCAGGGCTCTGGGATATCACTGGGTGCAAAACCAGACGCCCTGGGATATTAATTTGATTTAGGAATGGAACATTTCCAGCTGTGCCGGCGGTGACCACAGAGCCTCTGGGTGAGGCTGGTGGTCCTGGGAAGCAGAAGACCCTGGTTGGAGCTTGGGAAGAGCCAGGAATTGTCTCAGGAACCTCAATGAATGGGCACAGGGCATGCTGGGATCCTGCTGCCATCTCCTGGAGGCTGCACCTTCTTCTGGGTCATCATGGATGGTGGAGATCCAGCCTGGTCAGGCTGTCTCTGGGCAAATTCCCGCTATCCTGGTTTCTGGAAACCACCAGACACAGAATCCTGCTCAGCTGTGGGGGTTTGGGAGCTGGAGCACCCAGTTCCATCCCCTGCTCCCCACGGCCGGGTGGAGCAGGGCTGGTTTTATCCCCAGTCAGGGTGGCCTTGGCGAAAGTCTCCATCCACCTCTGGAAGAGCAGGGCTGGATGGGGTATTGGGAAGGAATTCCTGGCTGGCAGGGTGGGCAGGCCCTGGCACAGGTGCCCAAAGAAGGTGTGGCTGCCCCTGGATCCCTGGAAGTGCCCAAGGCCAGGCTGGACAGTGGAAGTGTCCTGGAGGATCTTTCTGGGTGATGATTCCATGATTCCCTGTCTGCCTGCTGGGAACTGGAGCACTGATGGGATTTGCTGCTCTCTGTGCCAAGGGGATGATCTCACTCCAACGCTTTGTCATGGAGAGGCAAATCCCCTGGATGGGGCAGGAACTGGATCCAAAGCCTCTTCCAGGCTGTGTGGCAAATGGAAGTGTCTGCGTGGAAATGTCAGGGAAGAAAATAACGGAAAGCCGAAGCGCTAATCCCGGTGTAGGATAAACACTTTGCATCCCTCCCTGTTTGTAAATCCATGTAAATGAGGCAATGTATGGAAAGCCAGGGATAGGAAGGTTTAGCAAAAAGGCAGGAGAGCAGGACCAAAGCATGAGGAACAGCAGTTCCTGGTGGGAAATGTGGGATGTGGTTACAGGCACTGCCCAAAGCTGAAGGATCACCCCAAGAAGGGTTTGGGAGGCTCTGGGAGTTTTCCTGATCATTCCTCACCCTGGGAACACAGCGTGGCCTCTGGGAGGTGCTTTGGATTCTATTCCCATCCACCACTCTTCCCACATTCCCTCTGCATCCTTTCCTTTATAAGATTTTCTCCTTTGGGTGTTGGTTTTTAGGAAGCTCCTGGCTCAGCCTTCCCGTTCCCGAGCCTTCAGAACCGGAGCAGAGCCCCAAAAAACCCATGTCCTCTTCCGAGCCCATCCTGGACCTCAAGGGAGACACGGCAGAAGCACTTCCAGGTGAGAACCAGCACTTCCAGGTGAGAACCAGCACTTCCAGGTGAGAACCAGCACTTCCAGGAGGGAACCAGCACTTCCAGGTGAGAACCAGCACTTCCAGGTGGGAACCAGCACTTCCACGTGGGAACCAGCACTTCCAGGTCGGATGCAGCTCAGGCTCACCAGGAGCTGCTCCTCTTGGAAGATTTCTTGGCAAAGCTTTGCCATCCACACTATTGATCACTAATCCAAATAAATAGGCAGGTCTTAGAATCATGGAGTTTTTTTATGTGGGAAAAGACCCCTAAGACCATAGCCCAGCCATTCCCAAATTCCCCATGTCCCCACATGCCACATCCCCAGGGATTTTAAATCTCTCCAGGAACGGGGACTCCACCCCTGCCCTGGGCAGCTGTGCCAGGCCTGGAAAAACTTTTTGGGGAATAAAGGGTTATCCAAGCGGATCGGCTCGGCAAAGAGGGAAAGCTGCTTTTGCTCCACGTGGTCCCGAGCCCTCCACCCCAGCCAGATGTTTTGCTGATGCAAAGCAGGATGGATCCGTTGGCTCCCATCATCCGAGGGCTCTGTGCCATCACCGGAATTTGACCTCTGGTGTCTGAATCCGTTGTAATTCCCATCCCGGCCATAAAGCTGGAGTGGCTGCTCTGGAAAAGCGAGAGGGAATCAAGTGGTCACGCAAAGTCTTGGTGTGGGACAGCTGCTGACCACCACTCCCCCTCAGCTGGCTGCACTTCCAGGGACGTCCCACAGCTCCTCCTGCTGATCCCATCCCAAAGGAATCCCAAAGGATCCCATGTGCTATCCCAAAGGAACTGGCAAGGAGCTGCAGGATCCCAGCTCTGGGAAAAGCAAAACTTCTGTCCATGGAGAGGAGGCAGCGAAAATTGGGAGACATTTGGAAAGGGAATTTGGGAGACCTTTGGAGAGGGAATTTGGGAGACCTTTGGAGAAGGGATTTGTTGTTCTTTTCCTTGTTTTCCTGGGAATGCCAGAACTGGAGCAGATTAGAGCAGATATGAAATTAATCAGTGGCCGGGAATATCCACGGCTAAATGTGTGTGTTTTATATATAAGGGTAAAAATAAGCAGGAAAACTACTTGGGCTACGCAGATCCACGGGAAACAGCCTAAAACTGACAGCAGAGCTCCCAGAAAACAAAAAAGGGAATGTTTTGGAAACAAGAACAGCTGCACAGGGGATGGATTGAATTGCAGGAATCAACTGTGATGAAGGCAGCCAAAATTCCAGCCCCAAACTCCTCGCCTGGCTCAGCTCTTGGGCGTGGGCCCTGCCAGCTCCAGGGAGGGCAGGAAATCAGGGAAATCGGGAGGAATTGGAGATGAAAGGCGCCGTGGGATGAATAATTAGGTGCCGATGGATATCGGCTCGCTCAGGGGGTGGAGTGGCCAGGGCTGGTTTAGATCCTGGCGGGAGCTGGCCGGGAATGAAAGGCACAGAAACCATGGACGGGTTTGTTCCAGCTCCAAGGGACTGAAGTCCTGGATAACAAAAGGTGGCTGGAGTTAGATCTCCATCTGTCAGTCCTGACAGACATTGGATCTAAAGGCTGAAAGGGTTGGAATCACACATCCCACACTCAGGAGTCATGGAATAGAATCCCAGACTGGTTTGGGTTGGAAGGGGCGTTAAAGGTCACCTAATCCCCTGGGATGGGCAGGGACACCTTCTGGTGCTCCAAGCCTTGGACACTTCCAGGGATGAGGCAATGCGGCCGCGGATTCCAGGCTGGAGGCATTCCCACATTCCAGCCATTCCTGCAGCCTGTGGATATCCACTCAGAGAACACTGATTTAACCTAGATGAAGGATCTCCAGGGCATTTCCTGCAATCTCCTCCAAGGACTGAGATCCTGCAGAGTCGAACATCCTAATAAAACTGGCACACATTCCCAGAGCAGCTGGGGCTTCCTGGATACCTGGAAGTGCCCAAGGCCAGGCTGGATGGGGCTTGGAGCAGCCTGGGATGGTGGAAGGTGTCCCTGCCCATGGCAGGGGTGGGATGGGATGAGCTTTGAGGTCCCTCCCAACCCAAACCATTCCGGGACTCCGTGATTCCTAAAAAAGATGGAATTGTGAGCTCCATACCCACAGGGTGATGTTTGTGAGCACATCTCCATAACCGACGCAATTCCCAATCTTTTCCTCACAGAGAACCTGGGAGGAGCAGGGGATCAGAGCTCCTGCCCGCCAAGGGACACTCCAGGGAATGGACAATCCATGGAGCACACGGAACCAACGCCAGCAGGTACCAGTGTCCAGCTCTCCTCCACCTCCAGGACCTGCACCTTCCCTCCAAGGAAACTCAGCCCTCAGAAAAATCCCTGAAATCCCTGACCCCACCTTGCCTCCTGCTGGCAGCACCTGTGTGACAAAGGAAAATCCCGATTACCTTCCCAGGCTTCCAAGGTCTTTCAAGAGTTGCCTTTTGCTGTTTGGAATTTTTTTTTTTCCCAAGCTTTTCCAACGGCAGGAATGGATTACAAAAGGAGAATCCAGGGAGAGTCCAGCTGGGTTTTCTGCCACCCATGTCATGAGTTCGGGGCTCCAGCAATTCTCTGCACCTGAGCTTGGTGCCTCCTGCTGAGGGATCAGGATTCCCTGGGGATCCAGCCGGGAGCACTGGCACTGCCAGAGCACTTTGTCCCAGCTGCACTGGAAGCTCCCAGTGCTGTTCCCAGCTGGATTAATCCCACAAAACAGAACAATTCTTGCAGAGTCGAGTCCTGGGATTGACGGGATCCAGTAGCTGGCACGGGAGCAGCTGGTTTGGATCGGGCACGGGGATGTTTGGGATGCACCCTGGATAGCTCCTTCCCACACTTCCCACACTTCCCAAACCCAGCGTGCTCTTCCAGCTCCTTTGGAAACTTCTATCCATCTTTTTTTGGCTCACATCACCCCAGTTTAAGAGGCTGGAAGGAATTTTAAGAAGCCTGTAAAGGAACTGAGACATTCCTGGTGCAGCCCAAGACAGCTGAGGTCCTGGTTTTTCCAGGAAAAGGAGGGAAAGGAGCTGCTGGAATAAAGCCATGGAAGAGAAACATGGAATGGTTTGGGATGGAAGGACCTTGAAGCCCATCCAGTTCTACCCCTGCCAGGTCAGGGACACCTTCCGCCATCCCAGGCTGCTCCAAGCCTCCTTGGGCACTTCCAGGCATCCAGTTTCTGTGGAAACCTGTTCCAAGGAGGAATTCCTTCCCAATATCCCATCTAATCCTTTCCCAGACCGTGGGCAGCCATTCCCCCTTGTCCAGTCACTGCATCAAAAAATCCCTCCCTGCTTATTTTGGGAGAAGTCAGGTCTCTGCAACAATTGCTGGGAAAGGAATGGAAATCCTGGATCCTGATGGAGTGTGAGCTGTAGATCCCTCATGATCTGGGATCACCCAGGAATGTCCCATCCCATCCATGCTGGGACCTTCCAGCATCCCCGGGGATGGAAGCAGCGTCGGAGAGCAGCAAAATCCAGTGCTGAGATCCCGAGCTCCTGTCCCTGCCACAGGAATAACTGGAATAACAAAGCGCTGTCCCGGAGCCGTGGGGACGGCGTGTGCCTCCCACCAGAGCAGGAGCTGGTAATTGCCCCCAGCAGGATTCCAGCGGCTCCGCAGGGCTGCTCGGAAGTGTCGCTGCCGAATTTAATTGGGGCTCTGAGGCCCAGGTAGCACCGGGGAAGGGAAATCTGTGGGAGGAAGGATCAGAAAGATCAGCCAGGCTGATCCCCTTCCCCAGAGCAGCAGCTGGGAGGGACACTCGGGATTGTGGGGTGTCCTTGGATCATCCGGGGGCTGACACCCCCCCAATGCCAAACACGGGCTCAAAATGTGAGGAAGGATAAACCCGAGGGAAAAACTGGGATGTTTGTCCAAAACTACAGAAAAGAGGCTGGGAGAGCTGGGAATGTTCCCCTGGAGAGGAGAAGCTCCAGGGAGAGCTCAGAGCCCCTTCCAGGGCCTAAAGGGGCTCCAGGAGAGCTGGAGAGGGACTGGGGACAAGGGATGGAGGGACAGCACACAGGGAATGGCTCCCAGTGCCAGAGGGCAGGGCTGGATGGGATTTTGGGCAGGAATTGTTCCCTGGCAGGGTGGGCAGGCCCTGGCACAGGTGCCCAGAGCAGCTGGGGCTGCCCCTGGATCCCTGGAATGTCCCAGGCCAGGCTGGGCACTGGGGCTGGAGCAGCCTGGGACAGTGGGTCCTGCCATGACAGATTCCTGCCATGACTGGGGTGGAACTGGGTGGAATTTGAGGTCCCTTCCCACCCAAACCATTCCATGATTCTGAGATTAAGGGCAGGGAAATTCTAGGGATGTGAGTTTGTAGCTTGGCACCAGCCATGCCCAGACCACCCAAAGGATGTCAGGATGGTGGGATATGAGGAATATTCAGGAGCCATTCCCTGGAAGCCTGGATTTGCTCTCAGCCTGGTGACCTGAACAGTTCTCTGTGCCTCAGACAGGAATAATGGGATGTAAAACTGAAAACTTGGGAAAATAAATGTTATCCTGCAGCAGCCACAGCCACGGGATGCTCCGGGAGCTGTGATGCTGGAGAGGAACTGAAGGATTTGAATTCATTCCCCAGCTCAGCCAGAGGCTCCTCCTGGGAATTTGGGTGCTTAAATTCCCCAGCCTCTGCTCCACATTTCCCAAAAGCAGCTCCCAGGTTCACAGATAAGATGATTAAAGCAGCTTCGAGGCTTCATCCCATCACTCAAAGAATTTGGAGCAAAGATTCATCCCTGTAACTTCCCGGAGAGATCTGCCAAAGAAAATCCAGCCTTGAAGGGTTCTGCTCGCTGATGGATGACATTCCTGCTTCCCACCTCCAGCAACTGCAGAGCTGGAGCTGCTCAGCAAATGTCAAAATGGGACAAAAAAAAAAGAACAAAACAGAAGAGGAAGGAGAAGGGGGGACAAAAATCCAATTTCGGTCCTTATGAATGTTCTCAAGGAAAAAGAAAACCCCTTTCACATTTTCTGCTTCTGTGCAGGGGGCAAAGTGTAGGGTGGGGGGTTTTAAACAGGAATTGTTTATTCCCTGTTTTGTATCTCTGCCACCAGGGGTGTTTTTAAAAGAATTCCCAGCAGGTCTCTCCTCTCCCTCAGCTTCCTCAGCTTCCTCATCTCCCTCATCTCCTTCATCTTCCTCGTCTCCTTCATCTCCTTCATCTTCCTCATCTCCTTCATCTTCCTCGTCTCCTTCATCTTCTTCATCTCCCTAATTTCCTTCATCTCCTTCATCTCCCTCATCTTCCTTATCTCCCTCATCTTCCTCATCTTCCTCATCTTCCTCATCTCCTTCATCTCCTTCATCTTCCTCATCTCCTTCATCTCCCTCTTCTTCATCTTCCTCATCTCCTTCATCTCCTTCATCTCCCTCATCTTCATCTTCTTCATCTCCTTCATCTCCCTCATCTTCCTCATCTTCTTCATCTCCTTCATCTCCCTCCTCTGCCTCCTCTCCCTCATCTCCCTCTCCTCACACTCTCTGTTTTCCTCCCCAGCCCTCGAGGACGCTGCGGAGCCGAAGGAGAACCCTGGGACGAGGCAGGACCCGTCCAACCCCGGGAATTCTCTTGGAACCTCCAGCCCTGCGGAGCCCATCCCAGCCCCACCAGCTCCCCGCCATGGCCAGCGGCTCCCGAGGAACCCCCGGCGCGCCCCAACACCCTGGACTTCTCCAAAGGTGGGAAGGAGCTGGAGGAGGCGAGGCAGGCGGGGCAGCGGCGCGGCAGCGACCGGGCCACGGTCAAGGAGAACGGCGTGGAGGCCACTCCGGCCACCAGCACGGCCAGCAGCGAGGAGCGCCGGGCTCTGCAGTCCGAGCTGGGCAAGTGCATCGAGGAATTCCGCAGGATCAAGATCCCGCAGGCCTTTCCCAACAAGAAGCGGCAGTGGCAGAGCGAGCTGCTGAAGAAGTACCAGCTGTGAGAGCAGATCCCACTCCCGTCCTGTCGGGAATGGGGCTCTCCAGGCGGCCGGGTGGCTGCTCCAGCCGTGGCACAGGCTGTCCACGCTCCCGAAATGAGGAGCAGAGGTGGCTGATGAAGCCCAGGCAGATGTTGACAGGGTCACAAGCCTGTTCCCACCGCGGTCATCGAGGGGATGCTCAGTGGCGCAGGCACAGCTGAAGGGGGTCGGACAAGGAAGGATGTCCAGGGTGATGTTTGGGAGCGGCAGAAATTCCCACATTTCTGAGACTGAGTTCCCCTGGTGTTTCAAACAATAAAATCGAGTTGGTGTCCAAAACGAACTCCAGACTCCTCGTGGCTCCGGGGCAGATGTGGGAATTTGGCTCTTCAGAACTCTGCAAGTGGCTTGGAGTTTCCTGAATTGCTTTTGGGGCTGGGAAAGGGGAGACCACAGCCACGGTTTTATTCCTTTTCCATGGAGCCAGGTGGGCAAAGTGTCTGGGGAAGAGTCTGGGGGAGAGTTTGGGGAAAGTCTGGGGAAGTGTTCAAGGAAGAGTCTGGAGAAGTGTTCAGGGAAATGTTCAGGGAAGTGTTTAGGGAAATGTTCAGGGAAATGTTCAGGGAAATGTTCAGGGAAGAGTTTGGAGAAGTGTTCAGGGAAATGTTTAGGGAAGATTTTGGGGAAGTTTCCACAGGGACAAGGAGAGCAGAGCAGGGTGAGGTGACCCTGGGCAGCGCTGGCAGCCAGGAAAAGGCTCAAATCCCACATCATTCCCTGAGCAGGATCCCCATTTCCCAGGAGACAGGCAGCCGTGGGGCTCAGAGAGCCGGAGCCGCAGTTGGAGCTGGAATCTGTCCACGGCTCACTGGAGGCTCCTCAGCAGAACGAGCTGCAGAGACACTGCCGGTGCCAAAAGGAGCTGGCAAACATTCCCAGATGGATCTGGCACCTGCAGGCAGCCCTGTTCTCCTCAGGATTTGGGAATTGCAGCTTCTCCCACCCAAGGACACGCTCCAGGCTCGCCCTGCCCGGAGCAGCCTCCAGCTGCAAGGGGCAGCTCTGCAGGGGCAGGCTGGATTTTGGGATGGAGGTTCCTGGCACAAAGCCTTGGAATTCCTTCTGATTCCTTCCTGGATGGTGCCCACGGTGCCTGAGGGTGACAAACGCTGAACTCAAAAGCATTTTACCGTCTGAGAGCTGCACAGGCTTAAAAATTCAACAAAAATTAAAATTAAATGAGCACCTCCTTAACTGGGCAGCAGCCAACACAAATGGCACTTGGAGAGGAGCTGTGGGACAGTCTGGAATCTTTCCTGGATGATCCTCTCCTTTCCAGGAGCAGCAGGATCCCCACGGGAGGGCTCTGTGCCTGTTCAGGTGCTGCCTGGAACGTTTACACCCCCCTCATTCCACAGGCAGGAACAGCTGGGGAGTGACTCATTCCTGTTTATCCTTCAATATTTATCCTGCTTCGCTCAGAACTTCCCTCTGATTTGGGGAATTTATTGTCATTTATCTTCATGTCCCAGGAAATTCCTCTTTTTCCAGTGCTCTCTTCCAAAGCCAAGAGGACACAGAGGCCCATTTGATCCCAGGCTTTGATCCTGGACATCAGGGGGAGGAAATCCGAGTTTAGACAGAGCCTGACTCCCCCTGGGCATGGGATTGGGAATGGGGAATTCCTGCTGTTCATCCTCTGTGTGGTGCTGGGAACACTGGGAGCTCTTTTCCTTCTTCCCAGAGATTTCCCACTGTGTTTCCCACCTGCTGCAGGTTTGGGAACAGCTCCCGACAGGTCCGTGCCGAGCCCCCTCCCATGAATTTGGGAAAGGGCAGGAATCGGAGATCCCCAGGACACGGCTCCTTCCCAGGGGGAGGAACCCCTCAGCTTCCCCCCCCTTGGATTGATTTCCCACAAATTCCTCGGCTTTCCTGGAGCAGCAGGAAGCCATGAATTACCCAGTGACAGTGTTCCCTTAATTGAATGTCATTATCCCTTAATTAATTAAACACCAATTAATTACCTGGAACATCGCGTGACGCGCAGCAAATGCCATCGGCTGCTGGAGACAGAATAATTCAAACCTGGACCAAATAATAATGAGCAGGAATTGCCCAGCAAAGGAAACAGGGAGGATTTTATTCCCTTTGGGATTTGTTGGGGGAGGAAAACAAACCCTTCCAACCAAATCCCTCCAGGAAATCCAGAGGGGTTTTGCTTCCCAAGCAAAAAAATTCCCTCTGGCATCACCCAAGCTAAAATGTCCCAGCAGCTCAAAGCTCCTTTCACGGGTTTCCACAGAGGAAATTCGGATATTCCATGGGGAAAGCAGTGGTTGCCTCAATTGGTTGGGAAGCATTTGGATTTGGTGGAATTTTCATGGAGGAAAATGGAAAAAAAAAAATTGTTTCTTCCTGGTCTGAACGAATTTCAGGAGCAGATCCGAGCATCCCAACCTGCTGGTGTAGGAGCATCCCCCCAAACCACCCCGGGCTGGATCTTCTGTTCCCTTTAGGAATTCTGCTTTTCCAACTGGAACAAAACCCAGTTTTCCCTTCTTTTTTCGGCATTTCGGGATAAACCCCCCCACAAGCTGGAAATTTGCAGCCTCTCCGAGGGGAAGGGACATCCCTGGGATCTGGCAGCCTTTCCAGGGATCCTGGGGAGCGGCAGGAGTTAAATCCTTCGGGATGCTCCGCCAGCCAAGCGCGATAATAGCCGTGCTCAGAGCGCCCTAATGGCCCGGAGCGGGGATTGGAAATGGATTAGATTTGATTTTAAACCCGCAGGAAAGGCTGGAGCAGCTCCAAAGAGGGGAGACACGGGCACAAGGAGCAGGAAAAGGAATTCTGATCTTCCCGAAGGATCCCCCTGGATAAATAATCTCTGTTTCCAAACGCCTCCAGCAGAGCCAAGCTCCTGCCTCTCATCTCTTATCGCTGTTTTAGGGCTGTCTGTGGATTCCCGTCCCTTCTCCAGGCTCCAGAAAGCTCCAGCTGCCAGCAGGAAAATCCATCCAAAGGAAGGAAGAGTTGGGGATGGGGCTCGGGGAGAGCAATTTCGGCTTCACAGCGTTTTATCCCCTTCAGACCCTTCCTTGAGGATGTTTCTCCCTGGCTCGCTGGAACCAGGAAAAATTGGGATTGTTTGGGTCCTTCTCTGCTCTGGAGCCAGGCTGGGAGAGCTGGGAATGTTCACCTGGAGAGAAGAAGGATCCAGGGAGAGCTGGGAATGTTCACCTGGAGAGAAGAAGGATCCAGGGAGAGCTGGGAATGTTCACCTGGAGAGGAGAAGGATCCAGGGAGAGCTGGGAATGTTCCCCTGGAGAGGAGAAGGATCCAGGGAGAGCTCAGAGCCCTTCCAGGGCCCAAAGGGGCTCCAGGAGAGCTGGAGAGGGACTGGGGACAAGGGATGGAGGGACAGGACACAGGGAATGGCTCCCAGTGCCAGAGGGCAGGGCTGGATGGGATACTGGGAATTCCTGTCTGGGCTGGAATTCCCAGAGCAGCTGGGGCTGTCCCTGGATCCATGGAATATCCAAGGCCAGGCTGGGGCAGCCTGGGATAGTGAGAGGTGTCCCTGCCGTGGCTGGGGTGGGATGGGATGAGCCTGAAGATCCCATCCCACCCAAACCATTCCCAGGATCCCTCTCCATGGAGCCACCCGAGGCACAGCGGGAATGGCTGAAGAGGAAATCCCTGGAATGGTCAGGACACAGCACCTTGGAATGGTTTATTCCCATGTCCAAACAGAGAACGGGATCAGAGCCCCAGCGAGGAGGACAGGATGGATCTCTGCTTTAACACATCCCGGGATTTCATTGATCTCTCCCAGAGGGAATCTGCAGCCTGAGCTACCGCAAATAAACCCATTTTTAACTCTGCTGCAATTAGTTTGATTTATGTCTCTTTTCCAATTACTGGGAGATGAAGATCAGGGTCAATGGATTTCCTGGGAACAGTAAATCAGGGAAGAACTTCGTGTTGAAGGGAAAAACCTGGATGTGATCCAGATGGGCAGGGAAAGGCTCCGAGGTGGGGAAGGAGAACCCGGTGAGCCCGAACTGGGCCACGGAAATGGGCAGGGAACAGAAACTTCCAGCACATTCCCAAGTTTTCAGCAGCACCTGGCGGCAGGAGGGGAAGCCCAGCAGGGCCCATGGCTCTGGGAACTCCGGGAATGACGGATGGAGCTCATCAGGAGAGGAGGAAGAGGGATTTGTTGTCTGCATGGAAGGGATTGAATCACGTCATTCCTGCTTTATCAACAGCCGGAAAATCCAGCGGGACTTCGCCTACATAAGGAAAACTTATTATGGGTTATAATGAGCCCCTGCCTAAAAACTGCAGGGAAATGGAGCTGTTTTGGTGGCTTTTCCAAGGTTTTTTATTAGTGATCAACGGCCCTGCTTTCCCGGGATTTGCCTCACCAGGCCAAGGCCAAAGCTTCCCGCTGTTTCTCCAGAGGCTTTCCTGCTCTTCCCTTATTCCTGCTCCTCGCTGTCCCCATTTCTCTGTGGAAAAAGGCACCGCCCTCAGAGCCTCATCCCAAAGTTTCCCATGGCTCCTCCTCAGGAGTTTCCTTGCTGGAAAAATCCCTGCAGAGGGAAGAGCCACTGAGGACGGGCAGAGACCCCGGATCCTGGTTAAATCTGATTATTTTCCTGCTTAATGCTGTGTAATTCTGCAGCAATTCCACGTCTCCCACAGGAAAAAAACAGGAAAATTAGGATGAGGAGGTGCAGAGGGATCTGGCTGCCATTAAAATGCAGGGACAGCCCCGCTGCAGAGGAATTAAATAACGCTCGCTCAGAAGATGAGGAAGCATTTCTGGAGCAGCCATGGAAAAGTTGCCAGGGAGTTTTCAGCACCAGAAATCAGCTCAGGGGGAGGCTCCCAAGGTAGAAACTCATTCCACGATCTGAAGAAACCGAAATCCAGGCAAAAGTGATAAAGAACTCTCTGTTTGGCAGGAAAACTGGGAGCAGGAGTCTGGAGCAGTTCCCAAAAAAGCCCCACCAAGCTCTGGATTATCCCTGAAACCACGGGACTCCAAGATGAAGAAAAAATGGAATTTCGGTCTCCTGGGAAATAAAAAACATTTTATTGTGTTTTGTTTTGTTTTGGGTTTTTCTTTTTTTTTAAGATAAAAGAGGAAATCTCCCAATATTTTGCAAAACAAACACAGAAGGAAAATGTTGGAACGGGGAATGTCTGAGCTCAGGTCCTGAACGAGGAGCCCTGAGTGTGCCAGGGAAGGATCCAGAGCCAAGATCCTTCGGCTTTCCAGCGGGAAGCTGCCCTGGTAAGGGCACAGAGCAGATGGTGGGA